ATATATTTTGACTATAGTCGAAGGAAGGGTTTGCCTCCTTCTTACTAGATAATCCTGGATAATTATGATACTTAAATGCAAATTCCAAGAAACAGATAGTTTATAGAAAGATTAATTAGCTTATTTATATATAAATATAAAATTTTAAATCTAAATTTAATAATATTTTAAGTTTTAAGTGTTCAAATTTAACTAAACGAACCCTTAAGTATAGGATTTTTATGAATACGAGTTTTGATTTTGCTGTATAAATCTACATATTTTATGATATAATCCTATTAATTTCTGTCTCTTAATGTATCAAAAACAACTAAATGAAAGGGTTAAATTAATTAATAAATTTATAATTAACGAAATAAACTATAGAACCTATACAATTGTCCTTTGTTTTAAAAGTTATAATGCTCCTTTAAATTTCTATAGTTTAATATTTAAGCAAGCACTTTAAATTTCAATCATTTAAGCTTGAAGTCCTAGAAGTAGAGATGTTTTATGTGTTCAGGACTTGAGTGAATTATCTTCAATATATTATAGAAGACAGCAAGACTTAGACAGAAAGGAAGTAGTTACTTTGTCTCGTATTTTTAAACGCCAGTCTATATATAAAAATATTTTCAGAATATTTTTCGAGATAATATTTTANTTAAAAAAAAAAAAAAAATACGGAAAATATATTATAAATCTATAGACATCGTACTGCAAATTTTAATAATATAATTTTATACAAAAAAATTAGTAAGTTACACAGCTCAAATATTTGAATCTTAACATCTACTGTATATATTAAAATATCTAAATTTTATATTAAAAAAAGTAGAAGTAATAAGCTATTAAAGTCTTCAATACGTTTTATTTTAAAAAAAGGCATGTTTCTAAGACGAAACACATAATTTACCTTGAATATGTCTACTCTAAAAATGATTGATCTGCACCTGAATAGATGTGTTGAAGACGAATCGTGCAACCATATGTCGCATTTTCTTCACATACAACTACTACAAACTCCAATTTATATACCAATTTTTGTAGAAGTTTTGACAATTTCGATGAAGAAAATTACACCTGAAAGTTTATTTGTGTTGAAAATCTAATGTAAACTTTTCGAGATAACAGAACTTGACTAGGACGTTCTAGTAACATGAACCCCATAAGTGGGACTGTTTACTATTTCGTATCCATTTATAGCGAGTGTAATGTAAAAGAACACGTTGAACGAACAGGTTCAACGTGTTCTTTCACCGTTTATAAGTACAGATAGAATACATAACGTGAATACGTACTTTTCTATAAAATGTACTAAGAATGTAAAACTGTATAACTATAATTTGAGGTGGTTATAACATTTTTATAACCAATTACAAGTATACATATTAATTTAGTAGAAATATGCAGTACAAATAGGAATATATTGAATCTCTATATAAAGGGCCTACGTTACACAAGAATGTAAACATACTTTTTTTTTTTTTATACAAAGTCTACTCGTGGTATAAAATTATATAATTGTAAATTGGTATTGTTATATCTAAAAATATCTTTAGCTTCAGAGAGCATAAAACTAGAATATCCGCACAGACAACAGACACATTAGTATGCGTTTTTCTGTAAAGATATAAAATCTGAAAGTGTTATAAGATTTCTTTACCTACCTGAAGCAAGTATATCAAACTTTAACATCAGCTAATACAAATATGTTGAGTTTGTATATAAATTATAGACAAAGACGAATAAAAACATAAATATGTACTTTTCTATAGAGTCTATTGCCTATATAAAACCTTAGCGTGTGCTTTAAGTTTTTATAATATTTTAAAATGCGCTTATATCGGATATACAAAACTTTAACATCAGAGAGAGCAGGAAGAGGAGCATCTTCGGTTTACGCAAAAAGTAAATAAATAAACTGCAGACAAAACACAAATTAAAAAATTAACTTGTGGTATAGAACGAGGAAGTTTACACCCTCACGTGACGATTTTTACTACACGGTCGAATCCACTTTACACTTTATGAGGGAAGTCGGGTCGTAAACGGTACATAAAAACAGACATCATAAGAGGAGGGGGAGATATACATACATACATACATACACACACATATATATATATATATAAAGGGAAATTGTTTTAGATTTTCTGCACAATTTTACGTGATTTAAACTTAAACAAGTTAATGAATTATGTTCATAAATCTTTATTTGTTGGCTTTAATGTTCCAATATTGCAAAACACGATAAACAATGTAGACGATGTTGAGTAAGTTCATCTAGTGATAAGTAAATAACCGGTGTTATAGGTGTAGATAAATTTACATACGAAAACGCTCTCGCCAAACCTACCTCCTCCGGGAGCTTTAGATATAATAGACCACCTCTAGAGACGACCTCGACTTCTCTGACGACATCGGCACATGTCACATCTAGAGAACCACGTGACTGGGTATAATGGCTCCTGTATTGTTCGACCATCAGCACCTAATGTGTTAGACTTTGACGTTAAGTACAGCTTACAGCTAAGAACCTTTAGATACAAATATCTCTTGTAAATACATGCTTAACGCTTAGACACGATTTTAAGTTAAAAAATATATATAAATACGAATTTTTAAAGCTAAAAATATACCATTCTATCCTTGGAGGCATTCTATCTCTTCGCTTCTAACTGTCGATATAACATTTCTATCTATGCTAGACAGAGATAGGAGGGTGGAAAGAAGCTGTCCATATTACTTCGTCTCCCACTGATAAAACGATCTTGCAATTGCACTTCACGCTGCATTAAATGCTAAAGAATTTTGAATAAATATATTTTTCCTAAGAGTTTATACTTTTATAAACAAATTTTTAAAAAAATTGAACATTTTAGATTAGTAAAACAAGAAAATATTTAATTTAAAGTCATTTGTAATGCGTGTAATTCGATACTTAAACAAGGCAAATTTTCGACTTAACTAATTGAATGTTACATCCGAGCTAATTGCTGCTGTCTTCTCTCATTTATTAATATTATTTTTCGAATATTTTAGGCCCGTATACAAGTTTAGAAATTTATTATCCGTGCGAATTTATCGTTTTAGATATATACTTGCACGATATGAGATGATCTACTGCTGTTGCTTCTGCTGATATAGATTAGCTCAATTCGTTGGTGCAATTATATCTCTGATAATGATCATTAAACTACGTATATGGCGAATTAATTGGATGTGTGTTGGCCCACGTAAATATCAAATTATCCTCACTCGATACGGTTTGCCATTACAAACAAGATATCACACGAGACGAGCATCTTTAAATTTTTCGTCGTATCTTATGATAAATTGAAGTTTAACACGAACATTTTGATGTTTCAAACACTCGCTAACCTCTATAATTTCAACGTATAATTTTTTTAAAAGAAGAAATATGTATAAAATATCGTTGGAGTTATATAAAGGGTAGTATATTATCTTATTAGACAACCAGATCGATTATCGATTATTTTCATAGATAAAGTTATAGTCGGATGGTGAAGTGAGTTATTATATTAATTTACCGACTGTTCTATACGAGTATTCATTGATAAAACATAATAATAAGTTGTCAAAAGAGCAGATGAAAGTTCGTGTTACATGTATAACGTCCATTAACGTTGCATAATTAGGATCATCTTGTTGGAAAGATGATCCGCATCACTTTCCTCATCCTCATCACTATTTGCTTTAATGTAGACTTTAATTATGAAAGAATTTATTAAATTCTCATTTTAAAACTTGTTAAAGATAGTTCTCTACTTAAAAAATTATAAAACTTTTAAGTAAATTTAATATTTTATTTTACTTTTTCGTATTTTTTTCCAGCATCCTTTTCTTCTCCAAGTTGCTGTAGTGTAATGGAATTTCTCACTCCTTTTTTTTATTATTATTAAATCGGATAGTTTCGTGTTTAATGCAAAATTTAGCTTATTTGAAAACATCGAATTTTTTGAAATTGTTTTTTTTCTCTTTTCTATGAAATAAGAATCCAGAAAATATATTTAAAGTATCGATTCTAAATCTCCTATGCAAATTTTCAGCCAGCTTGCTAAATTTGTAAAAAGTTCTTCAATGGAATAAGCAAAATTTTTACTATCTTCTGCCTTTTAATAAGTAAAATTGCATAATAAGCTCTTTAATTTGCTTCTTAGATAGCTATTATTGCAGTAATAATTTCACAAAATTAATAAATCGGTCTGCTTTAGGTCTATTGTCTATAATATAGACTATAAACCTAAAGCATAACTTTACAGAAGTATATATTGTTAAATTCTTATTATATTATAATAAGAATTTAACAATATATACTTAAGTTATTTTAATGTAATTATAAACACAGAAAAACTATTATAGGCTACAATATTTTTTAAATGTACTATCCTAGATAGATTCTAGAAAGATAAATGCATTCTAGAGATTTTAGTTTATCATTCTTGCCATTTTTACTTCTCTATTATAATGTGCACACTTCTATATAATTTCCCAAATCTACTGTACAGAATAATACAAATTATAATGTTTTTTTTTTGCTATTTTTCTTACAAAACCATCGAGTTTTTGTCTTATTATTGAGCTAATAATTTTTTATTGCTATAATAATAAGTTCCAATATGAAATACATAAAATTTTTATTAGAAATGTGTAACAAATGAATGGTATTAATGTAGCTTTTCTTTAATTTATTATATAATAATTCTTTATTGCTATGATGTTACATTGTCATATGCAAAATTATATTTTTTGCAATTATTCTTTTAATATTATCCTAATTATTTAAGAAATGTGAAGAAATTAAAGATACGATCATTTCTTTACCTAAGTAATTTTTATTACTATAACAACAATATTTATCAAATAAAGTAAACAAATTTATGTTAATTCAACAAGCAAGTTACATTATAAGTTATGTAGGATAATATTACATTTTTCTACAATATTTTTGATAATTTTATTATAGTAAAAATGAATAAATTCGAAGGAAATATTCGGATAATTCACAAGGGAAAAACGTAGAAAATATTTAATTAAAAACTTTTCATCTATGAAAATTGTATAAAAAAAAAAGAAGGAAAAAAATAACAAAATCAGAATTTTCATCTATTAAAGAAAAAGAATAAGAAAATAAAACAAGATGGAACAATTTCCTCTCGGATGAACAGGAACCATAATGTAATCATCTACATTCAATAAAATGTTTATAAAACCGCATCAACTCAACTCATTTTTATCATTTTTATTATTTTTTTTATTTTTTTTTCATAAATTCTATGATGACAGATTCCTTCTATAACAAAATGACATCAAATAACAGCTGTTCATCGGAGCATAACATTTTCCAACTCCAGCATTCATCTTATTAAGATAAGGTATGCAATTTGTTACCTTTACTCCTCTCACTTTTCGACCTTCTTCTATACGTTTAATAATATTATAATTTCTCTTTTTTAATTTTTCTAAATTTTTACAATATAAATTTTAATTTCGAAATTATTTTATACACGTAAAAATATATTAAATGCAATTATTAAGCATCTTTCGTAACGCATTTCTGTCGGATGCAGGCAATTCTCGAAGCACCGTGTCGCTTTGTTTATCTTGTAATTTTTTATTTATTACGTTTAAAAATTCAAAATTTTGGCAAGGGCGACGTAAAGAATTGTTATTGTAACAGTATTGAAAAAAATATTTATTATTATAAATGTAACAGTACAAGAGAGCGAACGACGTTCGCTTATCTGTACATAAATACTTTATGATAGAAATATATTGAAGGATGTTTCTCATAATATAATATACATAAATAATTTAAAAATCTTGCAAGTAGAGAAAATAAACTAAGCATTCGTTTAATATTTATCATTTTTCTAAGCTCCCAACAACCAATTTTTTCTTAAATATTGTTATATTAAGGCTGTAGCATCCATAATGAATGCTTATTCATTGGAGGTACTCCATGACATACTACATAAGTAATATCACTACTATACTCGTAATTAATAGAACTATACTATACTGTAGAATATATAATAACAAGCCCTATATAACTACAATACTAATAAATGCAACTATATTACTGTAAACGCGAAACATAGTATTATAATAATACTTTACTACTGCATTAATATTAATCAATACCACTATATTATACAATATTAATTACTATACTACTACTACGTTACGTGCTTTATAGTAACCAAGACCTTTTCTGCTTAGTCTTCATAGATTCTATGGTGAATTTAATGGTTTTACTTGTATAGAAATAAAGAAAACCCACTTTAATGTAGTGGATGGATGCTATACAATATGGAAGAGTGTAACATTCATAAACATATCTCATTAGAAAAATCTCACCCCTTCAATTGAATCTTTAGTTATAAAGTTAACTTTAGAAATATTAAACGCTATAGGATTGTGTGTTTGAAAATTATTATTAAGTAAGCTTATTTCTTGAAAGATTCCATCATAACAAGCGTCAAGTAACAAGAATTTAATTATCGAAGGAAGAAGTATGCACTTGATATGCAGAGTAATGAGTTAATTTCCAGCTTGCTCATTAGTTTTCAACTGGTTAAGTCAGAATGAAATTCTACACTGTTCATTAAAAGACAAAGTCTTACTCGTTTATAATAAAATTATTCTTGTTAAACATAAAATGGGTAATTAATTAATTTTTTACAAAAATATTTTACCATCGTTCGAACAGTTAACACTCTTTTTTAAATTGCGATTAGAATCATTTTTACAGCTAAAACAATAAAATAATTTCCATAATAAACTCTCCCAATTGTTATTCATGCAATTTTTACTACTAAAGTAATAAATTCTTCAATAAATATAAGGAAATTTAATTTTTTTACTAGCTTAAATCACTGATTTTTTGAAAGTTTAATAGATGCATAACGATCTCTTCATTCTTTTTGATATTCGAGTAGCTTTTACTGCTACAGTAATAAATTCCTGAATTGAAATAAGCGAAATATTTTCATTCACTAATCTTGTAGTAACAGTAATTACATAATATCCTCTTGAAATTTTTATTTAAATAGCTTATATATATTACTATAGTAGTGCATATCAGTAGCATTTCTCAGTCAAAGTAAGGAAAGTTCGTATAATAATCAGCCATTAACTTGATGACAGTTGCAAATGTTTTGATCCATGGTTTTTACCACTATAGCAACAATTTTCTTAATTACAATAATTTATTATCATCAATCGCAAGTAGAACTGTACTACTGTAATAGTATAATGAATTCTTGAAACTACAGACAAGAAAATCTATTATTATAGTAATAAATTTTTTATATGAAATAAGGTATTAGTATAACAATAATTGAGTAATTGGTTATGTTAACTCCAAGGTAGTACTATGATAAATGGCGAAAAATTACTACTATAACAGTAAAAATCAAGTAAAAGATTTACTATATATAACCTTACAGTAATGGTTGCTACATGGTAAATTTTACTGCTATAATAATAATCTCACCGATAATATAAACAGCTTTTTACAATTAGTAATCAATCGCCTTATTTCAATTGCTCTTCAACTTAATATTTAAGTAAATTTTACTACTATGATAACAAATTCCCTCTTTAGATCGAACAAAACTCATTATTTTCAACAACTCGTTTACTAGTAAATTTTACTACTAGAATAACAAATTTCTTAATTAACATATATCTATTATATTAATAAATTTCATAATTTACAATTGAAAAAAACACTTGTTACTATAACTTCAATTACTCGTTTCATTTTAATTTTATAAAATTCTCTTTAAATATTATTTAAATAAGCTCCATTAACAAGGTAACAAATTTAACAAATTATTTAATGGCAATTTTAACCATTTTTTATCCTCTATATAGTAATATCTATTATTTATTTTTGTTATCCTAATAGTAATTAGTTGCATACCTATTTGTTACAACAGTGTTAAGGTAATCGGTTACTTACACCAATCAATTTGTTACTGTAACAGTAGTGGATTGGTTAATTCAATCACTAATTTGTTATTACAATGGTAGTTGGTCGTTTATTCTAATTGTCCATTTGTTGTAATAATAATAATTTAATTTTTTTTACACTAGCCATTCGTTACTATATTATACAATCATTTGTTAGTTACTACAGCAGTATTAAATTGCAATTTAAGGCATTAAATCAAGCAAATTTTAAACGTTCTGTGGCATTTTACGCTCTTCAGAAGGGGTAAAATGTATTTTTTTTTTATTTAGAAGGTTTATAAAATCCTTTTCTTTTAGATACAACTATTTTTATATCTTTCTTGTACACTTTCGCATCCTCTTACGTTCTTCCTCCAAGGTATAAAGTAGGCAAACAAACTTTGTGACTTATGTAAAGACATTTTTGGAGTCGACCAAATGTTGGGTAAGTCAGGAAGGTATTGTTGATGAACGGCATGTCGCTGGTAGGTAAGTCGATTCAAAAAACCTCCGTTCTCACGTAATGTTGGTGTACAGTACAATAGAATACCCGGTGAATGGCCTGGGGGATTTTTTGGAGAGGAAGAGATCCCCAAAACTGTAGGACTGAAGTGAATGGCAATTTCCGTTCTAGTCTCAACTCTAGCTCCAAGAAGTAAGAACAGTTTGCCTCAGGCTTTGATTCCAGCAACACCAAAAAATATTTAAAAAAAAATCTTTACAACGTTTTTTTAGAAGCGATAGCGACTAAAATAGTAACATAAATTTGTAATTTTTGGACATTTATCTGTTGCTCATTTTCGCAGTTTAGAGCTTCTCTACCAGTGAATAATATTCCCGAAACGTTAAATGTATTTAATACTCGAAAATTATCATTTACTCCTTTAAAAAAAATCCACTTTTTAAACAGATTTTAATTAATAATTCATATTTTACTTTTATAGGATAATTAAATTAATTTTAAAGCGCATGGAGAAAAATGATACTCGACATTTTAATTATAGCTTGAAGCGATCTGTACAAGTTGGATCTTTGTTAATATAATTTATATTGTAACGAATTATTTTTAATATAATTAAATTATTTTCTAACATCATTATATGTTATAAGCAAATACGAATCATGCGGTTGGAGTAGATTAATAATTACTGCTATAATATTAATTGGATGGTTGAAGCAAATAACTGACTATCAATTGATTTTTACAATAATAAAAATGGATGGTACGGTAAACAATCAACTTTTGTTATAGTAATAAGTGGCTTATAAGTCTATATAAACAATTTCCATTATAGTAACAAATGAGGATTGGAGTAAGCTACATAAAGTGATTGCTGGAGTAAGCTCTACAAAAATTCTACTTCAGTAACATAGGGGTGATTGGAATAAACTGCAGAAATTCTACTTCAGTAACATAGGGGTGATTGGAATAAACTGCAGAAATTCTACTTCAGTAACATAGGGGTGATTGGAATAAACTGCAGAAATTCTACTTCAGTAACGTAGGGGTGATTGGAATAAACTGCAGAAATTCTACTTCAGTAACATGGGATGGTTGGAGTCAGCAACGTACTTATTACCTCTCCTCTAGTGCTAATCAGGTGACTACTACTTGAACTATTATAATATAGCTTCTACTATAATAATAATGGATATCAGCAAATAGATAGTTGAAGTAAAAACCAAATACTATTATAGTAACAAATAACTAATGAATTTAAATAAACAAATATTACTATTATAGTAAATAATTGCTCGAAGCAAGCCATGTATGAAAAATTGATCACATTAAATTTAATCAATTACTATTAAAGTAACAAATCAGTATAAGTAATAACTACAATTATAATAATAAGCGGGTAATTTTATATAGGCTATATATTTATATATATATAAATGGCGAGTTCTAGAAGGATTTCGTGTAGAGTTTCCTTATTTGAATACCTTATTTTAAGAGATTGGAAAGTTTTTCGGTCAATGTTATTCATCCAGAATATTACGAATGAGTTAACATTTTATTGCAAAATGTTGGAAAAAGCATTTTTCAGTTTATAAAAGGGCACGATATATTTCGTGTAACATTAAAAATTGCTCTACGAAACTAGACCGGATGCACCAATTCTTTAATCTCTACTTTCGAAATTTGTAACATTTTTTAAATTTTTTAAAAAAAATTTATAATTTGATATAAGTTTTTTTAAATAATAAATTTAAAGAATTTTAATTAATAGAAGGAAGGTTTAGATTTTATAAGTTTAAAGGTAGCAAGAAGTCGTTTTATCAAAAAAAAAAAAACTTTGATTACTTTCTTCTAATTCTTTTGCATTTCATTATATACAAAATTTATTTCTTACTTTAGATTTTTCAACAGAAATTGGTATTTTTTGAGTAAAATTATTCTCATTTTTTGATTTTCTATAATTCTAAATTTCTAAGATTCTAAAATATTTATTGGAAAATCGAGCCAATTTTCAGGTGTTAATGTTTTCGAGAAGTGAAAAATACGAATTATTTTTATTTCAAGATAAGATTTTATGTTTTTTCTCTAAGTTTTTGGACCCTACAGCATCAAAAATATGCTTTAAAATAGTTCAATTTTTTAGAAATTAATGCTTTAAAAGATGGTCAATTTAAATTTTTTTTTCAATTTTTATATCTTGAATCAAAGTTATTGGTTTTATAAATTGCTGTTTATGGAATTCTAAAATGTCTGACCAATTCTCTTTTTTTATACGTTACTTTTACTAGATTTTAATTTTAAAATTTAATAGTTCGAACAATTATTTAACAAATATATTTTTTAATAAGCATTTTAATATTTCAATCATCAAAAATAATAATTTTAGCCAAAAAAATTAGTTAAATTCGAGAGAAAACTAAGATGATATGAGTATGGAAAGATGCTACTCCTATATTAAGTAGTACTGTACATCGGTAGCTACTGCATTAATTGTTTATACTTAAAAAGTAGCTAGTGTATAAAATTATCGACAAAAATTTACTGAATAAAAAAAGAGAGGAAAGTTACACCGTTATAGAAGTCACGAAACGTTCTAATGACAAGTTATCGTGCATTAAAAACATTGTTTCTAGGAAGCGGCTCGTGTCTTTGATTGGTGTAAAGGTGCCATTGCTATTGTCAAAATTATACAATATTTATCTGAAAAATTAGGTATTTAGAAAATATCTAAAGATGTTAGTACTGTACGAAGTTGTAGTTGAAACCTTTATCCAACCCACCTATCGCTAACGGCAAATATTAGGACAGGAGTTGTGTCTAAGTGTTTGTTATCTGGATGCCTTCTGCACCAAGCACACGACATCTGTCTCCCAAGAGTGACAAATGGACCAATTAATTACATACAGCGAGGACCTTAGGCACTTAGAAGCTGGACATTACTTTATTCTTTTTCTTCTCCTGTCGAGATGGATATATATATATATATGATTCTTCCACCCTCCTGTACGATTCTTCTATCCTATGTTATATATATATATAGGGGGATATACTCCCTCCCTAGATAGGGAGGGATTCTTCAAATGCTACCCACCCTATATCTATATATGTGTTAAGAGAGGGTGGGAGTTGAGGAATCATATATTATTCTGTCTGATATGATTCTATATAGAAATTCAGATCATCGAAGCATTCTTCCATCAAGAACAATATATAATTGCATTCGTAAGTATGTCTGGACATGGTTATGTGATAAATTTTGTAATTGCTGTTTATATTTAGGAAAGTTCTTAAATTTCCACTCTCAAGATAATGTGTATCTGTGTGTGTAGAGGATAAAAATTGAACATTCATATATTATTCTATCTGATTTGATTCTATATAAAAATCCAGCTCATTGAAGCATTTTATCAGAAGGAACAATATGTAACAATAATTGCATTCTTCAGCTTTCTTTTACGTAGCTTGTGATAAATTTTGTAATTGCTGTTTACAAGTATAGCGCGCATTATACGAAGGTTGCATCTGTTGAATTTTCAAGAAGGAAGGCGTTACACCTCGAGGGTGGTCCGCCTTTCATATGAAAATTTCTAACAAGTTGATTTTATTAAATGATACTTTTCCGTATAGAATTAGAGTCAGGTAAGCAGGTGTCTCGAAAACCACTTCGTTTATTGGTTTAATAGAAAATTTAAAATTCTTTTTTATAATACTTTCAACCAGACGAAAAGCTAAATTTCTGATAAATCTAATTGAACACGTTTCGAAAGTTATAAATTGTTACAAATCATATTTGAATTATGTAAAATGCCGATTTATATCTTTATTCGTCTCTCTCTAACATATTTTTTCGGTGATTATTTAATTATTAAAAGTTATAAAAGTTCGTCTGGTAACTATAAACCAATCAAATTTAACATTTATTTCATCACTTTGCTTTATTTCTTTTACAATTTGAGTAGAAGATAATCTCTAATATCCTACACTAAATTTGCCACGAGTAATATAGAGAATCGTGTTACATTATCGTACACTTTTAGTAAACTAATCCCGTTATGGACAGACATTTTTAAGAAGGAGAAAAACACGAAAAAAAAAGAAATGAAGACATCTTCAATTGAGGCATGAGGACCGCCGAGCGATGTCTGCTTTGTTACCTGGATGTCTGCTGCCAGAACACCTACCGCTTCCAGACAGGTACCCACCTTTATGACGTATCGATTTGAATGACGTTTCCATGGCGACCGTGTCCTCTTGTGCACGCACAGTTGCTCTGTTGAGAGAGAGAGAGAGAGAGAGAAAGAGAAAGAGAGAGCAGCCAGCAAAAATTGTTAGATTGGCGTGAAATACTAGCCTTGTTTGGTGGTAACGTGGTCCGCACGGGAGCCAAACTTCTCCCTTAGGACAGAATCTAGACACTGATGACGATTTATTTACGTGATGCTAAGAAAATAAAGAACTAAAGAAAAGAAAAAAAGAAAAAAAAATACCTCTATAGATAATCACCACGATGTCACCTGTCTGTTGATATAAATCTTAAATTCGTCAAAAGGTGACGTTGTAAAATGTTTCGACAATAAAAAATTCTCATATTTAATAATAATTAATCTATAAATTATTTAGAAGACGAAATATAAGAATTTGGAGCCTATTTTTTAAAATATTTTTTGAAATATTATTATAAATCGACCTTACTCTCTATATATATAATATATATATATCATTTCAATATCTAAACTTTTCTTTAAGCAATATCTAAAAATAAAGTTTTAAGTTTGGATCAAATCCTTCTTTTTTTCTTATTTTTATATACTCTTTTTTATATATTTTTAGTTTTTTTTGAAGTTGAATAAAAACAAATGGCAGCGAAGATCGCTATTCTTATCCTCTTTATAACATTAGTTTTTTATTTCTAGAGCGTCANTAATATAATTATTTTTAACATTTTAAAATATATTTTATTAGAATATTAAATAATTAAAAAAATAATAATTTTGTTCAATGATACTTATCAATGAATATCCATCATGTTGATGATTAATTGGTATCACTAGCAATTTTAATTAAAATAAAGTGGACTTAGATAAATCAAGTTAAATTTTAGTAGAGTTAAATTATTGATTTAACATTTATTATTATTATTTTTTTAATTTTGATACCGGTTACGGTCATTTATATTTATTTCTTTTACATTTTTCTTGATGTGTATCTTGATGCTCCTTTTTATCCATTAATACAGAATTGTTACAGTTCTGTTTCTGTAATTGTTCGCTTAATTTATTTTATTGGATTAACGATAGATTTGTTAACGCTTAAAAAAAAAGTCAATTAAAAAGAATAATTGAATTTTCTATACTAAACCAATGAGAAGTGTCAATACAGCGAGAGAAGAAAGCTGTTAATTACCGCAAAGTCAACTTTGTAATTCATTTCTACAAAAGATAGAAATTTTGTCGTTTATATCTTTTGTACAAATCAACAAAATTCGTCGTTTATAGCATTATTTTTTTTGTACAAAAGAACACAGTTAAGTTCTTGTATTATTTGTACAAAAATGTTTACGTCATTTGTACAAAGAAAATTGCAATTGTAGCGTTTGTGTAATTTGCAAATTTTAACATTTGTACAAAAGAGAAAAGTTTCCTTTTACATCATCCGTACAAATCAACTTAATTTATTATTTGTGCTGTTTGTATAAAGGAATGAAATTTATTATTAAGTTATTTAGTATAAAAGAACATAAAATATGTATATATAGGCCTATATATTGTTTATGTATTGATATAAGAAACAAAATTCCAATTTCTGACTAGTAAAAAGCCAAAAAAAATTTTAAATTTTAAATAATATTTGTATAAAAAATGAGAAAGTTTTCTACAAATCACAAGAATTCGTTTCTTTTTGAATAAGGATTAAATTCATATGTCGTATTGTTTGTATAAAACTAAGAAATTATCTGTCTATAAAATTTATTCAAGGAATTTTGAAGTTTTTTGGCACTTATATAAATAAGAAAATTCATAATTTGTATTATTTTCACAGAATAGGTAGACTTTGATATTTATATCGCTTATACAATAGACTTACATGTATTATAGGCCTATATATATATATATAAATGGGCGAAGTTTATTATTTTTAAAACATTTTAACTGTGCAAAAAACATGAATTTAAGTCACTTTACAAATGATTTAAATACAATAGCATAATTTTCTATTTATATAAGTTTTCGAACGCAAAATTAATTTTTAACATTTACACAAAATCTCCTTTCGCATTGTTTATACGAAAGAGCAAAATTTTCCATTTGCATCAGGCATCTACCAGAAAGAAATGTCTCATTTGCTTCATTTATACTGAACTAATACCACTCATTTAATATAAAAAAAATTGTTTAATTTCTGTGTTTAATTTAAGAAACTATTCCCAAATTATATTTAAATTTAATAAACTCGAAAAAATATATATATATATACTTTTTTTTATACCTAATGGAACTTGTCGATTAATCTAAGAACTGTACATTAACCTTTCTTTCTCTGGACAATCAGCCGCAGATTCCACATGGGGAAACAGATAATACAATAGAGATGGGTCGGAAGCATCTCCACCCCTGCTCGTGTCCTAGCAGGAGCCAAACTTTTCCCTAGTTGCTCGTTCCGTTCCCCAGTAATACACTGGAGTACCTTCTATTGCAGGCAAAGTGCTACTACAGTCTTCACTGTGCTTCCATTACTTCGTCATAAAAGGAGCTCACACGGCATTTCCTATTCCCCACCGTTTTGACCCCCAGTTCGAAAGCTCACTACTCTACAGTTGGACGATCGCGTACACCGATCACGTAGGACCACGAGACATCACGAGACTTCTCAATCCACGTTACCCAACCCGAAACAACCGATATAGAGGACTATATCCTGTTGGAGTAAGTCTAGAATGTTTCACCCCTCGAATAAAAACTCATCTACTAAACTACACATCTCTCTTATATATATATATATATATACTGTATATAAATAAATATATATATATATATAAATTTTTTATATACTTTCTATCGATCGTTTTTTGGAACTTCTCGGTAAACAGATCTAGAAGATCGTTTATCAAGTCACCTGTCGTGTGGATCGACTCTCTTTATTGGGACACGTACGTTAGAAAAATGAGTAATGGTATGAGAAAGAATTGTTATTTGATTTACGCACTTGATATATTTCTTTTGATGATTTTTGCTTATCTCCATTTCTAATAAAGTTCTGTTTTTTGGATGTTTACGCCTCTTTATTCAATTTCGAATATCCGTTATCGAACTCAAACCCTCTTTTGATTTATGAAATGATATATTGTATGATGGCAATATGATATCGCCCTTTCATACTATAGAAATTGGAGATGTTTAAGTGCAACAGAGACTACATAAAGATTAATACAACCTTCATTATTTTCTTCTTTTTCTTCTCTAGCAAACCAATTACTGTTGCTGCATTTGATCCGTTCTTAGCTATTGTATCTTACATGCGCTACTTCGACTAATTTTCTTCAAGTTAAAGGTAATTTTGCAGAGAGAATTTAAATAATTGCTTAAAAAGAGATACAAAAAAAGTTAAATGAAAACACAAAGAGCAATATTAATCTATAGTTGAAGATAGAGTTTCAATCAATCAGTTTGCTTAACTCATTACTTGCAAGATTATTTCAGTTAATAATAATTCTTAGAGGTTCTCATAAGTATCTTTTATGTTTTTGAAGATAAAATTGATAGAATATCTGAGAAAAACTGTATGAAATTTTACTTTATAGATCTACCAACACTTTCTAGTCAATCATTTTGGTTATCTCCTACCACGTGGGATTTAGTTGGCGTTAATGGAGTATTACAATATATTAATTACGTATCGTGATTTATCACGAGGAATATTAATTATAATGCAAGTTAATATATCATAACTTGGCCTTATTACTAAGAGGCCTACAATTATGCATACACAATAAAATAATTAACATATTCTATAAAAGAATACGTGTTTTAATCGATCGATAGTTACTAAAAAGCTCTATTTTTTATAGAAAAATATTAAAATTATTATAATTAAATTCGAAAGATATTCACAGGATTATATATTATAAATAGTTCACGAGAAATTTCATCTTTTTATGTATATATTTTATATTCTAGATAATATTCTTTGCGTTATTTACGAATCGAATCTCTGTAGGATACGAATTTTACATCTTAATAGGATTACCTAAAGGATTATTTTGTCGAAAGCGAATGAGTAATTGCACTTCTTATTCTGTCTTCTCTTCAATTTTATTAAATTTCTTCCAATCTTTAACATTTATTTACTTTTTTTTAGCATAAAAATTAACCATTTTTCTTATATTTTATCAACGTATCTATTATCTGATAATTGATGCGGAGAGGCATCTAAACTAAAATCTATGATGATATACTTTAAAATAAGAAAAAAAATATTAGTTTTATCGAAAAATAATTTAACGAATTATTCAAATGTGTAGTAAAGGGTGGTAATTTATTGAAAAATTGTTCTGTTCTTTAAAATTTTCGCTTATTTATGAGTACATTTATGAATGAATCATGTAAAATTTAATTGAAACAAACTTAAGATCGATAACACTTCATATTAAGAAGTGGGTTAAAGTTTATTTAAAGACTTATTAATGCTTTAATAAAGTAGAATTTAAGCAAATTTCGTTGATTAAATTCTTATTTTTTTCCTCAAGAAAAATGTACAAGTAAATAATTCACTTTAAATGAGCTTATTAAAAAAATGTACTAATTAAATATTTTTATTTTTTATAATATTAAAAAAATTATTATAAAAATTTAATTATATTTAATACCACAAAATTTTATTTTTAATATTTTATATTGCAAAGTAATTATTTAATAAAAATTTATATTTAATAGAAGAAAAAAAAATTATTTTTTTAATGATATTATGCTACGACTTAACAGCTTTAAATTCTTTATAATTATATAAGGTTTATATTAGAGAATATAATTATTTTATTTTTTTATACGGTATATAAATTATATTATATTTCGTGGAATAATAACCAATTTTAGAAATTAGTAATAACATTTATAATAATTAAAGTTTTTTTATACGGTTTCATATTTTCTGTTAACATTTTCTAATTGGTTTTGCGCGACGTTTTAAACGTTTTTGTCTTGTCTTTTTTTTTTTAATGTTTTTTAAGTGCACTTTCACAACACAAAAGAGCTGTTGTGTAGTTTCTCCGTAAATGTTTGACGATATCAAAAACGTTTATGATAGAAAAATTAGCTTTATATAAACGTTTACAATACAAAAACCTATTACTTTTTGTATTATAAACGTTTACATATACAACAGAAAAGACTTATTTTTGGTTTTATTTATTAATATTTAATTATATATAAATATATAAGACATTTGTATTGTTCCATAAATGTTAATAATAGGAGAATTTTCTTATTTTAAGTAAACGTTTACAAAAAAATGTTTTAACACGCATATAAAATATTTGATTGTTTTGTATAAATATTAATTTTAAAACAATTTTTTATTGTTTTTCCAGAAATGTTTGATAATAAAAAAATATTGCTTTTATCAATTTTTCTGTAAACGATAAGAAAAAAAATCACCATTAAATAAAGAGAAATAAAAATATTTATAATTTAAAACGTAAAGATAAAGTATAAAGTAGAGAACTAGGCGATAAATTGTAAATAAATCTAACAAACAAATATTTAATGAGAAATTTTTGTACGAATCTTTTAATTACATATCCAAAAATATCGTTAACGAGAATAGATGTTTCAGAATAATAACAGTCGCCATTCGGTCCATTGTGGGGCGTGACGATCACCCGAATTATTTAGACGGTTGAGATTGGTTACCTTGGCAACCTAAGGGACAACACATTGATTACAGTAAGGTTGGTGGGCGCATAGATCTTTAAGGTCGATAGGACCAGACGTTGATTCTCTAACTACCTTACACAAACCGCGACATCACTTAACATACAATTAGGAAGTGGTAGAAGAATCGTTCGCTTTAAAATCGATATCTGACTGGAAAAACAAGATCAAACATTTAGAAAACTCTTTAAAAATATCGTAAAAGTACTCAAGTTTAGAAAATGTTTAAGTTTTCTAACAGATTATTTTTTCCTTTATTCAGGTTCGAACTTTATTCGTTAGTGGCTTACCTATGGACGCTAAACCAAGGGAACTTTACCTGCTGTTCCGAGCTTACAAGGTAAGGAAGAATATTTAATGTTTGAAAATTGTCTTAAGATGACAAAAAAAAAACAAAAAAAAAAATGGATCCATGATATCGACTAGTGTCTCCCTCTGACGGAACTCATTAGAAACTCGCTTCTCTTCGATAAACTCAACGTACTCATTAACCATCCCTCAGATTTTGATGGCATGGAGGGGGGAAGGAAAAAAATAAAAAATAAAAAAAATGCATTGGATAATTTCGGTATCGCTGACAACGTGCCATTTTCTCATAGCATATTCTATTTTTTTTTTCTTTTTTTTTCTTCCTTCAACGAAATGTCAGCTGCTCTCTATAGATGCTATACTTTTATAGGATGTTTAATAGTAAAACTACTACTTATTTCTTAATCAATAACAGTTTATAATTAATGTAAAAATAGATATAAATTATAATTTTTAATATTTTTTTTTACTATCACAAAAAAAATGTGTTTTAATTAAGGTATTTCTATACTAATTAATTCTGATTCAATTAATCACTTAGATAACGCAGCTAATTTATTTTAAAATGTTATTTTTTTTTAAATGTCTCTAGTTGAATAATTATCGGTTTATGTTACTTCAAAAAGCTAGATTTAATTCTTTTTTCTTTTAATTTTTTTTTTTATTTTCTAGGGTTACGAAGGTTCCTTGTTAAAAGTTACAAGTAAAAATGGAAAAACATCTTCGGTAAGTCTAGTTACTAAATAAACTCTTCAGATATTGATGCCAGTGGAGAAGTAGCTATAAAATTATGCAAATATTTTTATAAAGACAAGATATTCAGCAAAATGATTATTAATTTATTTTTATTAAAATTACAACTTATTTATTTATTTAAAACATTCTCTTTCATTAAATAAGTAGTTATTAATAAGTTTGTTTTGTAGTTTTGGTACAGTAGAATGCATTTGTCTTCCTTCACTTATTAAAAACAGGTATATAAGATATGAGAACTTATAAAATCGCTTGTATTTATTATAAAAAAAAAACAAAAACATTTGTTTTTTATTTCATTCTATCTCACCTGTTGCACTTTCATTTATCTATTTCTAACAATTTTCGTCACTAGGCTGGAATCCTTATTAATTCACCGGCACCTTTTTTCTTCCTCTATTTTCCACTCGTTTCAGAAGAAATAGGAGCTGCACTACTGCCAGCTGCTCACGATGGTTGGCCACATCTGCCTTTGTCCTATGCTGAGGTGCCTGTTTCGTCAGCCCTCCACACCGCGGCGCTGATGCACCCTGCACTCCATGCTCAGCTTCCGGTAAGGCACTGTTTAAATATTGATGCACCGCGCTGAAAAACAATTCCTATATTTATTATGCTTCATATTAAAAAAAAATATATATCAATATACATATAAAAATTCAAAAAGAAACAAACCTTGTATTATTTTGATATATATTTTTGATAATTTCAGCCGCCCCTGACGGTACCTCATCCATTGTCGCACGCTGCCCTCGCAGGAAGTGCTGCTATACATGGCACTCTTCCTCCGCCTCATCTGATAGCAAGTCCAGCTTTGGCAAGTCCCGTGGGCTCAACGTCATCCACTTCAAGCACACCCCCGTGTTCGACGTTATTTGTTGCAAATTTGGGACAGTTCGTTTCCGAACAAGAACTTAAAGATTTATTTTCTAGGTATGTCACATCCTCATAACAACTCGATCTTCTATTCTTTGGTTTCTTTAGATAAAAAACACGAAACACTATTTTAAATTATTTTAAATTTCAGTTTATTGTTGTTAAATATTTAAGTTTTAATATTAAAAACTCATAATTTTATATATATATAAATTTTTTTTTTAAAAAAAAAAAGAAGACAAATACAGAAATTCTCAAAAGTTGAAGGAATTTTTTGAATCATTAATATTAATTTTTTGAAACATGTGATATTAATAAATAATAATTTTTTTTTTTTTGAAAACTTCAATATTCTTGACTTGAAATAATTAATTTTAGCTATCCCGGATTTTGCCGCTTGAGAATGCACAATAAAGGGGGTGCTCCTGTAGCCTTCGTTGAATATCAGGTGAGAGGATATCATGTCAACAATTGGACAGCTTTATCAATATTTACAATCACCACCCTTTTTATTTTTTTATATAAAATAAATTCAGATATATATATAAATATATATATATTTAAGGGGGAATAAAATAATTTATAATATTAATAATTTCTAAAAATTGACACCATACACAAATATTAAAATTCATATTTGAATATTTTTTAAATGTATTTTTATTGCTACACTGAGAAGAACACGTGTTTTATCATTTGGTGGTTGTTATTTTTATTCTTAAAATAATTATTTTATAAATTTTATGTCAAATATTAATATTGAATAATTTTTTAAATTATATTTTTATATTAGGATATACGTTTGGCCACCCACGCTTTGAGTTCTCTTCACGGAGCCATATTATTTTCTTCGGATAGAGGAGGGATTAGAATCGAATATGCTAAGAACAAGATGGGAGAGGCAAGTATATATTCCGTGTAAGAGATATCATTAATCTATCTTACAAATTTACGATTTTTATTAACAAAAATATATTCTAAATTAACACTGTTTATATCATAATATAATTTATCCTTTCAGGTTTCAAGGGACTAAACCTCACCTTTGTAACCATCCTGCCATTTTCAGTAAAGTGCAGACAATTAAGGAACAATTGATATCATAAAAAAACATTGGAATATATTTTATTTGGCTGGCCTCATATTTTAAGTTTATTCTTTCCTTTAAAGCTGAATTTTTGCAACTATTTGGACCAGTTAACAAAAATTATATATATATATATGTATGTCTCTATATATGTATATATATATATATATATATTACGAACAAGCAATATTTTATAAATATGAAATATTGTGTTATAACTTTGAGTGAAAATTTAGAACTTAACAAAAAAATTCATCTCCTTGTCTGTAGAATCTTGGGTTAAGAAGGAATTGCAAGGGGGTCATTCATATCACGTGATGATGATATCGAATTTAAAAACAAAACGTTTAAAAATGAAGAAAAAAAAATGTAATATTTGTGGGCACAGAGTAACTACATATCAGAAACTCATTGTTCGTTTCCTATGAACATATCAAATATCTAATAAAAAAAATTATCTAAAGTGGACCATCGTACAATCTTGGGGGACCCGAATGGTACATATATATGTATATATATATATTTTGTACCATCATTTCTCAGTTCTATATGTACAGCACCTTCATAATTTCTCTGTGTACAGTTGTATGTATGATCCTATCCATTCCACCTTGTGAGGATAATTGTCATAATTGTTGAAGGTAGATGTATATCTGGAGATCAATTTTTTAGAAGAATTAATACATAGTTGTGATCATTTTTCGCATGTTTCTTGGCAAATATATTGTGATATCCTATTTGGTGGATGATATTCCGCCGAATATAGAAATGGTTGTCATGGTTTTTTAAACGAAGGTATAAAAATAAAGTCTTGCTTTTTGCAAGTCATATATAAATATATATAAATATATATATATATATATATATACTATATAAATAAATATATATATATATATAAATTTTTTATATACTTTCTATCGATCGTTTTTTGGAACTTCTCGGTAAACAGATCTAGAAGATCGTTTATCAAGTCACCTGTCGTGTGGATCGACTCTCTNAAAACGTTTAAAAATGAAGAAAAAAAAATGTAATATTTGTGGGCACAGAGTAACTACATATCAGAAACTCATTGTTCGTTTCCTATGAACATATCAAATATCTAATAAAAAAAATTATCTAAAGTGGACCATCGTACAATCTTGGGGGACCCGAATGGTACATATATATGTATATATATATATTTTGTACCATCATTTCTCAGTTCTATATGTACAGCACCTTCATAATTTCTCTGTGTACAGTTGTATGTATGATCCTATCCATTCCACCTTGTGAGGATAATTGTCATAATTGTTGAAGGTAGATGTATATCTGGAGATCAATTTTTTAGAAGAATTAATACATAGTTGTGATCATTTTTCGCATGTTTCTTGGCAAATATATTGTGATATCCTATTTGGTGGATGATATTCCGCCGAATATAGAAATGGTTGTCATGGTTTTTTAAACGAAGGTATAAAAATAAAGTCTTGCTTTTTGCAAGTCATATATAAATATATATAAATATATATATATATATATATATACCATGTCATTCGTTTCTTTATTTCTGTCCAGTTAGTGTTTTTCTAAAGTTTGGATTTTGAATCCTTAGAATTGTCGATTAATAATTAATGCTGGCAGCTAGCAATGTTACTTGATCATTTTTTCGTTAAATTCTAAATTTTTTTTTTTAATTTTTAAATCTTATTCTACTCGTAGACATTCCAGCCATTTCTATCATTATTTATATATTTTTAGTATAGATTTTTTCGTTGTTTCTTGTGTGTTTGTTCATATTTTATAGAAGGAGAATCTTTGTTGTGCATAGTTTAGTCGAGAAACGTAGTCCTAGCTCATAGATCTGCATTTATTTATAAGTCAATGATCATGTTAGAATTTTTGATCTTCAGTAGGAGAGAAAAGAGGAAGAAGTAATTTAACAGTCGATGTTTTTAGGAAATCGATTTACTATATCTGTTCAGAAGAAAATGTATTGAGTTTCTGGAAAATGACCATACGTTCTTTTTTTAAAATAAGTTTTCGGTTATAAAAATACGTATTATTACTCGTTTTTTTATTTTTAAAATATGTTGTGATATATATATATATATAACTTATATAAGATTTTAATAAAAAATGCGATAAGAAAAATACAGTTTAGAAAATAACAATTTTTATAAATCGCTGCCTAGATTATGTATTAAATCAAACAATTTACGTTACCATTCGAAGCAATAGTTCTGCAATAAAATAATACAAAATCTTATTGTTTTTTGTGAAAAAAAACAAGAATTTTCCAGACTCAAAACATTACTCGATGTACAGTATATGCGATCTTATAGCAACAAGTATCTAGATAGAAAAATATATAATGCTAATTTATTTTTAAGAGTTATTCATTAAAACTCGTCGTTATTAAATATATAAAAATGTAAAAGTTTCTATTCATTATCCATTAAATTTTACTCATTTCGTTCTTTAAATTTGGCAATATAAAATTGTTATTATTAGGTTTTTAAAAATTTCTCGACGAGTTTTCAATGGGTCATATATAGGTTACGATCCTATACATCTGTATTGTAATACGTCCATCACCATAGATGAATATGCAAAAGGGCGTTGGTGCGGCCATTGATATGATATACTTATATATCATATAACCGGATATCAACGCTCATGGCGCACTTGTTAACATAATCACCAAAAATCCTTATTAATCACACCTTTATTCCCTATTTAGTGAATCCTTTATCCTAGACGTGGTCCAATATATGTTGTGACGACTGCTTAAAAAATTTTATGTAACAAATCACTTTGCAGTACGTTCTAATTGTATATCTTCGATATAAAAAAAAGCATGTATTGTGCAGAACCAGTCCTGCCTTAATCTTGATGAGCATTATTATATAGTAATGAGAAAAATGCGAATCGCGCGTATATAAATCCGTCCAATTTTTTGTCGGCCTAATTGAAACAAAGGTGTTGAAGCCAACTACAAAATAACCCGGTCAGTATAGTTTGAAAATAAAATAAAAATAAAGAAATTCCGAGTTCGACTAAGGAGCTCTAACTTTATAAAGTAGCTGTAACAGTATATATATATATTATACAATATATATATTAATATATATACCCTTACATGTAGCTCAATCTAATTGAATAGTTTTCTGTGTTTTCAGGCGAAATTAAGACAAAAACAAAAATAAAATGGTGTGATCTTATCGCCTGAAAGAATGTAATGTTCTTTTATTGAGATAAGAATATTATTGTAGTTCTAATTGTACAGGGATTGATAGACTCTTTAAGGAGTTCTATTTTGATGGATTTTTATTTTCAAGGGCAACTGATAAAAATGTTATTGAAGTTTGATCAACAACTAATTCGACATGTAAACAAACAAACAAAAAATAATTCAGGTGATATAAAACTATACAAATATATGAAAGAAAAAAAAATTAATCGTGTGTTTTTCAGCTTTCTGTTGTAGAATGATAAACTTTAGGTGCTTTAAAATAAATGCGTTTGCAAGCAAACCATTAACTATGTCTTGTGCTTCATTTATTTATACTCAAACATGCAATTTTAATTTCTTATCCGTTATATATATTTATANATACCACCACTTGCCTTTCTTTCTCTCTCCCACTGACATCACATTGCAATTCTCTATTTGCTGTGATATATCCAAATGATCAGTAAGATGCTACTTGCACATTGGTAAATACATACTGTACTGCTACCCTGTAATTTCATTCTTTGTGTGTTAATCTACTTATCCGAAACATCTGCAGAACAAATTATTTTGGATAATTGGAGTTCTGCTAGTTGAGTTAAATATTTTCTGCACAGTATTTCATTATAAAACACTTTAATTATACTTTTTTAATTTATACAACTTCACATTTATATATCATAATTTTGGTATTATACAGCACTTTTTTCACTTATACATAACACGGGATGCTGTTTTCAACAAATTTTTCAGTTTAGCAAATTGCTACAACAGTCCAACAAATTGAAAATTTTCACCTTCTGCATTTTGTAGTGTAAACCAATTTTGCTAGGTGAATAAAAATTACTTTCTCATTCGTTTTTGCTATTTGCTATCAATATGAGCTATTCTTCAGAATGACTTACTTTTTATTCTTCCATGTGACTGAAGTTTTGGCAGAAGGAGACAACTGATAACTGTTTTGTTACGCACTGTGCCAGTGCATGACAAAACCATTGGAAAAAACAAACAAAATTTAGTCAATTTTTTAAAAATACAATACACAACTTAATTTCACACTGTTTTGCGTAACCTTTTATATGTTGTTCAAATGTGTTATATATATAGTAAATCGAAACTTCTCTGTTAAGAATTAGACATACAAATTTAGGTACATTGTTAATTAATTTGTACTGCACCATATTTTTGTGATAACTGTATTTGCTCTGAAAGCAATTCAAAAGTAGTTTCACTTGTATGGTTTTTCTCAGTTTCCTTGAAAAATATGTAAATGGGATTTGACTGTATTTTGAATTGGTTAAATTTTCTAGTTGGGAGTATATTTAATCTAGCAATGAGCACATTGCATTGATATGTCCAGTATACTTCCTTTCAATGCAGCTCAATATAATTTGTAATTCATGCATCTTGTTTGCAGTTAAATTTCTTTTAATTCATGGAATATGAATATGATTTATACATTATGCTTGTAATGTAGCATATTTTAGCAAAATAATTGAACACAATAGATAAACTACCAATAAAACAAAATAAACATTATTTGGGCAATGATTCTCAGAGGGCTACAAAGACAGAAAAATGTGCCATCTTTGCAGCCCACTGTTTGAGAATTAGCCACATTTGTAAGCCAAGTGTTGAAAGTGATGTTGAGATCAGATTTTGCCAGTCTCTTAGCCTTCTGATCATCTTTACAAGCAGCTGCCCATGCTTCAATTTAACTCGCTGCTGTATGCTCGCTGCCATCTTTGATGACAATGTAAGCAACATTGATATAACTCAGACATGCAACTTCTTCACCATTTGTGAGATTTATAAGATAGAAGTGAAAATAAATATAAAAATAATAATAATTCTCTTCTTTTCTTGCAGGAGTATGCCGACTACATGAGAGAATTCCATCATCAGAGATGTGATAAGTTTAAATGAATAAATAAATATAAAAATAATAATGCCTTAAAACATAAATTAAAATAATGACAAGAGATAGAACTTTATAATTTCATTGAGTTCTACTTTAATGTAATCTGACTTAAAGAACTTCTGTGTTTTAGAAAATTAATTAAAGATTTTCTGAGGACCAACTCTAATTGAAAATAAATAAATAATATTCTGTTCTATTAAGACTGTTGGATAGGCAAATAGACGACGTTCCCTCTAAGGGATCCTAACAAAATTACGAAAGAAACAATTGCAAGTCCGACAATCAATTAAACTAACCCAATAAAAAGTCTATATCTTCTACCACAAATCAAGACAAAAGTGGTTATATTTATTATTAAGTTTAGTCACTAGGGATTTAAATGAACCATATTCTAGTAGTATATAAAGATGTTCTTTCTTGCTTCCTCACAAAGCTGCAGATAGATCACAAGTAAGTAGTTTGTATCCTCATCTCTTATTGTCAATGCATTCTCGTCTTTCATCACATTTTATTCAACTCAGTATTAATATGACATCATTTTTTTTCTCTCTCTCTCTCTTCATAGGAAATCATGAATTACAAATTTGCATGCGCAATCCTGCTCTTCACTTTCTTCATCGTTTTGCCTGATATCATCGAGGCTAAACCGCTTCTAAACGGAAGTATCTTCGGAAAGAGATCCCCTTTTGGTTAGTGACTTATAATAATAATTGAAATATGTTTGAAATTTAATTTTAAAAAATATTTTTTCCATTTACTTTCTAGATCTTGACAATGAAACTAACCCTAGAATACGTTATGCCGTTTGTGAAGCAGCATTACAAACTTGCAGTCAATGGTTTACATCATGTGCAGATTCTATGACAAAGTAGAATAAAAAGGTATTATTTTTATATTAATAATTTTTATTCTTATAATTATATTTAAATTATTTAATATATAAACTGACATTTCTTATTATATAACAGATGCACTTGTATATATCCATTATAAAATTATTTAAAATGAAAAAAATTAAGTATAATATATTGAGTAATATTAAAATAAAAGAAATTTTATAACATTATATTTTTAAATTGTTGAGAAATACCTTAAACAATCTATAACTTAAGAATTGATAAATTGCAACCCTCTTATAGTTGCTATCTTAACATAAATTTCTTTTGTATTATTCATATATAAAATTATGAATTAGAATTTAAGTATAAAATTTTTATATTTTTCCAGATGGAAATCCAAGTAATATAATTGCAGCGATACATAGCATTTTTGAATATATGTATTGATGTATTTCAATAAAATTGTTGCATGATTAAAAAATATCTTTCATTTCTTCGTTAATTACACATATTAACAATCGTATTAAAACATAAGAAACTATTTATTTTCAATTCTTAAACAAACTGAAATTATATCTAGAAAAAAGAAGAAAAGGAGGAAGAGAAAGAGGATGCGGAGAAGGCGCGGAGGATAAAAATATATTTTAAAATTTAAACATATAAATTATATTCTTAAATTTTAAAACATCGGATAATTTACCACGAAAAAATTATTTTAAAATATCTTTAATAAAACACTATTTTGTAAATTATCCAAGATTAAATTTTGCAAAGAGGAAATCATTTATCACTAAAAGCTATAAGAAATTTTAAGCACAAATAATGAACTAAGAAATTATAAAACAAACTCGTTTTATGACATTTTCTTTTTTTTTCCCCTAGTAAAATGATTGAGTTTTACGAGCCTTTCATTTTTTTTTATTAACTAAAAATATTTGCTGTAACGACGTGTTGATGATTAACAAAAACAAGAACATATTGTTAAAACTTATTATTTTTCGCATCATCATAAAATTTTTCAGATGCTCCGAGGATAACAATGATTAAAAGAATATTTAATTAATTTTCAAGTTTTTTTTTATTAATTAATAAATATAATAATTTACGTGAATATAAGTGAATTTTTAAATTAGCGTTTTTAGTAATAAAATATCAATACGAAATTCGAAAACGTTTCAAAAATAGTTTATTTTTAATGTCCTAAAGCAGAATAAATCGATTCTTTCATTAAAAAATGAACATTTCTTCTTATTTTCAACATAAAAATCAAAATAAATTGGCAATTATATATTTAAAGCATCTTTAATAATTGAAAAGGCTGTTAGTTTTATTAAAAAGTATAAATTATTATTAAATATATATTATTTTAATTAGAATCAATTAATTTATTAAAAATATATATTATTTTTCCAAAGAAAACATTAAAAATTATATATTTTTTCTATACTTTTAACAGCATCTTCAGAATTTGGAAGATGCTGGAGAATACAGAATATCATTATACAGAAAAAAACAAGATAATAAATTAATAAAAGTTTACCTAAACGTTGTAAAAGTGCAAAATTAATTTTTAAAATAAAAATTAAATAAAAGTTTACACTAAATTACATAAATTAGATATGGTTATTGTTCAATTCTATGAAGTATAGCCGAGATTATTAACGAAATACTTCCAAAAATAAAATGAATATATAAAACAGTAAACACGTTAAATTTAATTATCAAAAATCGTATAAATAATCTTTTATGTTACATAAATCGAACAATTGTAACACGTGTAATCTGATTAAGAAGTTATTTCTAATTCTAGTAGACATGTCACTGAATAAATTTATTTTTTTGCCTCTAGAGAGAACGGCGAACATTAATTTCTGTCATATATTATTCAGTATATATGTACAGTTAAACACTTTAAATAAAATATTCCAAAATATTCTTTTAAGTTATTTAAACGAGATGTAGAATGATACATTTAAATCTACGACATCGATAACATTAAAAGGAAATTAACAATAGGAAGCATTCATTATTATAGCAATAGCTATCTTTTAAATTGAATGTATTCTAGAAATACTGTCATTTTCTATTAAAGGTAAATCTTTTGAAAGTGGAAGTGCTAACGTATCATTATGTTGCACTCTTTACGTCTTCTATTCTCTTCACACATCTGTACACGTGACAGATGCCCTCAGAGACAAGAGAAGGTGGCATCACGTCTGTAAGTTGGACTACTAAGTAAGGTCTCTTAAATTAATTATTGGAACAAGTCCCAGAAGCGTATTCTCTTCTGATAGCTTGCCTTTCGAAAATAATTATCAACCTTTCTGTTTCGTCAATTCGCAGAAGGAGTACGACTGGACGGATTTTCTCGTTAGTTAAGGAAAACGTGTTGTGATTGGTCGAAACCCATTTCTGTCGGATGTTTTATGATGTTGGAGGATTGAAAAATATCTTTTCATAAATTCTTCATCTTAAAGATACTCGTATTCCAATCGTGTTTTCCAGTAAAGGTGTGAGAATATCCACTTTTGACACTTCTCACTCTTCACTTGTCTGATCAATTCGATCGTTATAACCACTTGTCGGATAAGAAAACTACATTTGAAAAGTAAGTTCTTATCACCATATCATTATATATATATATTTTTTGCTTTTTAAAAATATTTACCACAAAATTTCTGATTTAAAGTGTTACGCCATATCTATTTCGTGTGGTGGATTATTTCATTGATACTAAGTTCGACCGATGGGCAATTTTTTACAAAAACTAAGACAATTCCGAGAATGGGTAGAAGAACAGATAAAAATTGGATCTATTTGGTAGGTTTTTCAATGACTTTATAAATATTTAGTACTAATTTCAGATAGAAAAGTTAGGCACGCATCGCGAAAATATTATGATTTTGGCCTAAAATCACGTAAAAAAGTTAGAAAATTTAATATCTTTATGGATAATATTTTTTATAACGTTATCTATAAATAGTTTCAAGAATTTTTTTCAATCTATTTTACTAATTTTTTGTGTTTTTTTAATAAATTATATTGCAACATATGGTTCAAAATCAAAAAAAATTTTAAATTCTTCGCACTCTCATCAGAATTGTCATATAGTGAAATACGTTATTTATATCGACTTATATGAAGATTATTTATATAGGCCTAATTTTAATAAGGGTACACATAAATTCATAATTTCTCNTGAATAAAAAAGATTAAAGTTAAAAAAGGTAAAAAGGAGATCAACTTGCAAAGAAAACTTTTATTTACATTAATAAACCTCCTAAATGCATTTCGCCTATGGAAAGCCTCTTCAGCAGGTCTAATCACACACAGTTCACGTTACAGAGATGTATTTCTTATATTATTTATCTTTTCAGCTATAAAAATCTCATTTTAATTGAATTCTAAATAGCAAACAAAATGAACAGGACACTTTAAATAGTATATAAAAATTGCAACAAAACATAAATGTTGAGTAATTGTTAATTCATGGAAAATGACATGGGTGGAAATGACAAAAAAAAAAAAATGAAACTGTTGTATTGAAGAGAAGGATGGATGAAAGTTGGTTTAGGCAGTGAGAGTTCGAATGTTGAATTACAAAGACAATTTGCTAGCCACTTTGAGGTGTGGATATGTATTCATTATTATTGCATTTATAATATTTATGATCTAAGTAACTAATAAAAATCAATATAGGGATTTCTCTGCTTTAAAGTTATCAAGTAGGTGTAATTTTTCAAGCATTTTTGCCTTTTTTCAATAAATGACTAATTAATACACTCCACCATACCTTTAAAATGCAGTCTACTTTGGATAGTTATCTAACGTTTTCGGTCTAATTCATAGACCGTCTTCAGGATTGATGTAAAAATTTTTTTAAAATTTGAACTTTCCCAACGGTAATTCCAACAACGCACATTCCACAATCTTCCAAAATTCGATTGCGCATGTCCATTTGCTCTTTATAATGCCGCCGCTTTCCATGCCGATAAAATTTACAAAAAAGCAGAAAATTTTATTGCATATCACATTGTGCAATTAGACGATACAATATAATCTTAAAATGGTCGATAAATATTTTAAATAAATATCACAGTTCAGAGTGCAATAATTTATATCACAGATTAGTATTTTGATGAAAAATAAATTAAATTGTCTGAATCAGACAATGTAACTACAGAAATATATGATAAATATTACATTGAATTATTTTAATTGTGTAATCTAGCTTTAAAATCAAACAACTAAATCACATTACAGAAAATGACAATTGTTCCCATAAAAATGTAAATCTGGTTCAGATTTTAACTAAAATAAATATAAAATTTTTGATTTCTTATTAAATTTTTTAAAACAACTTCACTTTTGATTATAAATACAGAAGATTTTAAAGAAAATAATTGCACAATTTGTAATAATGAATATTACTACACTATAAATAAGCCACCCTTAATTGTTTAGAGTGCTCATCTTCTAGAGGCAAAAATTGAAAACTTCATATGAAACTAAAATTTCATTCCATATAAATATGTACTATTGTTTAAATAAAATATTCATAATCAATTTACTTATTATTGATGCTAAAACTAAAACAGTTCTTTAATATTAAGATGGGCTCTTTTTATTTACTTAAGAAAAACTGTTTTTGAGATAACTTGGTGAAACTCACTATAAAAATTTTCATTAACATTCATCTAAGTTCATATTGCCTCATACTGAATACAAGCATTAATAAATAATTTAATGCAAGAAAAATTAATAAAAAAATTATTCATTTAAGATTTCTTGCAATAAAATCTAATATTACTCTTTCATATTGATCTGGATACAAATTAAAATGTGAAACATGAGAAGTATGATTCCACATATAAAAATCTACTTTGACTTCTTTACTCTTTCGAAACTCTATAAATTTCTGTATACTTCTGTAATCACATACATTGTCTTCTTTAGAAAAGAGGAACAACTGTGGAGAAATATTTGGCTCTTGTATCAAACTGTGCCATGGACTGAGTGCTTTTAAATGGTCTTTCCTATCAACTAAACAATTTATAAAACGATTATAAAGAAAGGCCGCATACAAATATAAAAATATTAAAACAGATCGAATATATTATCTAAAAGTTTCAATTGGAAATATGATTGATAACATTTTGAAAATATATGACAATCCAAATTCTGCTGGACTACTGTCAAAGATACAACCTCTAATATTGTAAACTTCATCCCTTTTTAACAGTGTTTCTCTCATAAGATCATACATTAAAGCTCCTCCATTACTAAAACAATGAAAGAATAATGGTTTTTCAATCAGATCCATATCTTCTAATAGATTAACAAGTTTTATTGCATTAAATGCCAACATTTTTCTAGAATTTATTGAAATCAGCATTTCCAATGGTGCAATGTACATGAAAATAGTACAACCATGATTTCCATAAATAGTGCTGTATTTGGAAAGATGGTGCT